TGCAATATGAGAGGTTTTAAGAGTAAAAATTTCACATCTGTAATTCTCTGTTATTTGTATTCTCTATTGTACACCAAGTTCTTCTGAATTTTACCCTAAAAAAAAAAATCACAGCAGACTTCTTATATTTGTTACTGTCACTTGGCATTAGGTGCTATTGTTTTGTGAATTACTGGATTTGTATTTCGCTTGATCAGAATGATTTTGACTACTGTGGGATAATATCCATATTATTGATAGTGAAAAGCAGTATAAATCCCATAAATCTTCTAAGATATTCTTGTGCTTTTTTGTGATTGGAGATTAGAATTTGAAAATATGTAAGCTTGAATGTGTGAACAAACTGAGATGGAAGAAATTTTTAGGTCTAGAAGTCTTGTAACACTTCTATAATTTTGGGAGTGGGGTGCTAAAATAAGTTGAAGATTTTAATTGGTACATCATGAAAGATTACTAACTGGTATGCAGAGAGCTGTGGTTTGTGACCCCCCAGCACTTCCCCCCCACCCGCCCCCATTCCTGCCAGGTGTGTAATGGGCATACTTCTAAATTGCTATTACTCCATCAAAAATATCCTCATCTGTCTTTGGGGCAATGATTTTAATACAGAAAATTGAGTGTCGCTTGCTTTCTAACTCATCTTTCAACAAATTGCATATTAATGTTCATGCTAATGAAACAAGAGAGTATTAAGTGGTATAATTTGAAAGTAAAGGAAACTGTCTGCTGAGAGGCATGTCTGAGATAGCTCCTGTTTTTCAAACAGGGATGCTTTTACAGATAATACCAAGTAACACCACTGCTGTACTACCCTGCCACGGTGCTGCTTACAACTGTGTTCTAGAGGCCTGTAAACAATCCATATTTATCAGAGCAGATTTGATGTGTGATGTCAAAACTTCACGTAGCTCAGTGCCTGGGCTGTTTATGACAGTAGCCAGTAGTATCTACCGAAGAGGCTAGAATGGAGCAAATACATAGGGTGGTCCATCTCTTGGAACAGTATCTCAGCTTCAGCCAAGTTTCTTTTGAGAAAAAGACTGAGCTTACATAATATAGTAATTACGAAGTTATCCTGTATGTTGTCAGACCCAACATGCAAGTATTGGGGGGTGAAATGATGGTGTCATGTGTTGTCCCCCGCCCCAGAAGTCTAGAGTAGTCAAAAAATACAGAATTATATTTATGTATCAAATGTCCTTTTCATGTCAGTGATACCACAGTGAGATAGTATTTTTGTTTTCTTGCACATCTCTCCACCTTTCTATTATGTATAAGAATATGTACATTTCTTTTGTAGCCACGTCATGAATACTTTAATGTCCCAGTGTACTAAATGGCTTCATTCATCATGCATGCAGAATTTCAGAGGAGATAGACCTGTGACTTACTCATGACAGGACATTATCATCAGCTTGGTGAATCCAGTCATCGTGAATCTAACAGAATGCCACAACCATTCTCTGCTGTTGTACTTTCCTCTTCCCCTTCTGTTTTACAGTGTTGTCTCTTCACATGTCTCCTTTCAACAGAACTTGTGCTTGCTGGCATATGGTTTTAACTTTTTTTGTGTGTAAGCTTGAAGTCTTATGCTTAAAAGTTCTGTAGAATTTTCCGAGCTAAATAGCTATATACTGCAACACCTATACTGTAACATTACTTGACCTGCGTTTATCTTGCAAATAAGTTGTGGTGGTATTTAAACATACTTAAAACCTGTAGATGAAGTTAATATTTACAGAGAAACTAATGAAGTAGTAGTATGCAAGCTGAATACACACAAACGTTAAATGATGTCACACAGTTCTACACAGACCTTGCATCTTAATTAAAGGTGCGCACAGCAATATATTTAATGAGACCTTCTTATAAAGAGGAGGAAGGCAGAACTGATATGGGCAAAAAGAATGACAGGTAAATCTGAAGTTGCAAAATTTGTATTTAATTGTTCAAACACTCTTGTGAATAGTTGAACAATTGCTGCTACTGAAGGAGAGAACAAGCTCATTGCTTCACAAATGGCTAGGGTTAGAAAGATTAATTTTTTAAGTCCATTTACAGCATACTTGAAAAATGTCATCTTCAATTGGCATTTCCAGTTTTAAGTACAGACTACCTTGTATATCAGAGAACTGCCACAAGGATGAATATAAGTGCCATTCATTTAAAAAGTAAGGGCAGAGAGAGAGGGCATGTATTGCATCCTCTGTTTGCCTAGAAGAGGAGAATAATTTGTAAGCTCAAACGAGTGCTGGTTTTGAAAATTGTTTAATTATCAAGAAATTGATTACTGAGATTAACCACATTCTAGTTGCATGTACTATATGTGGTAATGCACTACCTTTTAAATGTTAAACTGACAGAAATGGCAGATTTAGGGGATTAGACAAAAGATCTGGATTGGATTTGCAGCATTCTGAAGTCTTAGAAAACAAGATCACAGGAGTGGCTTTCCACTTCAAAGTTTGCCTTTTTTCTGTAAGACATTAACAATGTGTTTGAATGTCTGGTTAATGCTGCTTTAGCCTGCATTATTTCATGCCTGTTGGCTTAAAATGCTGTGCATTGAGCTGTAATGAGATGCTGTTTTTCTTGTTATCTGTATACAGCTGCTTGCTTCTAAATGACTAGGTAATGAATTAGCTTTCCTGGCATGTTTGAAATAAAGTATTGCATGCACTTTTGTCTCATGTGAATGACTTTTTTCCTCATCTGTGTTCTGATATATTTCAAATTTTCATTGTTTGCCTGGGGTGATTCTGAGCTGCAGGTAGTGTATAATGCTACAGAATGCTTTCCATAACAATTGGCTAAAATGTTTGACACTTCCTAAAAAAAAAGTAATATGAACAAAACATAATTCATCCTACTTGTTTCTTAAAAGTCATAATTGATGAAATAATTCCTCTAACAAAACACATTAGCCTTTAGGTGTTCCTTGAGATTGTACTGTTGCTGTGTGAATAAGAAGGCATGTCTGCCTCAAGGTTACTGCTGTAGTATTAAAAAAATTAAAATCTTACCGAGTTTTAGGGTGAGAGACCTGTGGGGAAGTAGCCAGTGTACTTGAAATACATTCTTTTAAGTTCACTGTTAGCCAATTACCTTGATATTCTTGAAGAAATTTAATCTTTACGTATATGCCTGCTGAAAATTACCCACAACTCTGAATTGGCAGTGGAGACAATAATACTGGGCTGCTCTAAAGACAGTAGCAGCAGTGCACTGTTTCTTCATAGCTATGGAGCAACTCCTCAGGTCGTTTAGTAAATATTGTGTCTTACCACTGAGTAACTGTAAGTATCCACTGCTGTCTAATCAATTTAAAATTGTGAAGTTGTTTTAGTACAAATGTTTGCAAGACCCTGAAATGCCTGAAAAGTTACACTTTGTCACTTCTGTTGCTATTGTTAATGTAGGATTTTGGGTTGTTTTGTTTGTTTGTTTTTTTTTTTTTTGGAGTAAAATGTTTTACGTTGGTAGATAGGGGTGATGCATGTCCTCTAAAACGAATGCAACAGAGTAATCTGGTAATAAAATACGACAGGTTATATTAAAAATGCTACAAAGCCTTTTCTTCAATCAGTATCTCTTTTGGGATATTTGTGTTAAAATACACATGTAAATCATTAATCCTGCCATTCTCTCTGGCTTTGTCAAGGTCACTGCAGCTCTAAGAATATTTAAATATTGCATCAGTGAGGAAAAACCACAACATCGTTAATATAACATACAAGTATCTTGTTTCCAATTTTAACTTATGTTTTTTCTTGCCATTTCTTACTTGCTGCTGGCTTTTGGAAGCCATCTCAAAGTGTTCAGAGGTGGCCTGTTCCCAGCACTGACTGACTTTTAAATGAAGTTGCCTTTAAAATATGGCTTGTTCTTTCAATTCTAAAATCACTTTATACATGAACGAATGAGGATTGTGAACTTGATCATTTTGTGCTACATACAGTCAGGGTTGATAAAGACGATGTTTTGATGTTACTTGCAAGATCTAAGACGTTTAATTATATATTTTGCTGACAGTGTTTTTCTAATATTTAGAAAGCAGTTGAAAAATAATTTGCTGCCTTAACTGTTATCTGCCTTTTTTTTCTGCTTCATGACATGTCTTGGTTTAGGATGCTAAAGTAAGTTTATTCAGTCTGTGGATACTAAACCTGTTTGTTTCCATAGGGGCACAGTATCCCTTTTTGATATTGTTAATAATTATGGAAAAGCACAGCCTAAATATTTCTGATTAAACTACCATTTTTTTTCAGATGCTATAGGAATAATGACTGATTATAACTGATGATAACCCTTTGCAATGTTGTATTAAACAACTTGCTCTGAATCTAAACAAAGCTATTTAAGATTAGAATTAATTTAAAACTTTATGCTTGGTGTGGAATAATACCATTCCAGTCCTGGCAATTACTCCACTTCTGCAGGGGTCAATTTTTGGACACCAGCTGTACCAAGTACTTTGTCCTGGTTTTATGAACTATGTATAGGAACAGTGTGGAAAAAAAAAAAAATAAAAACCTGATCTCCTATGAAGAGCTTAAGGGATACTGTGTCTTAGTTGCATCAGTCATTTCATTCATCCATTTATTCATTGTTCCCTAACAGATTTTTGAGACCTATGAAACAATTCACCACAAAAATCATTGACTCCATTGCAAGATGCTTCCCCATCTGTCCCCATTTCATGTCTTTGTTACTGGCTTGTGATTTGTTCCCTACTGGTACATCTGAATTTCTTTAGTTTTATTGCAGTTAAGGGCAATAAAATCTACCAGCGATTTCTGTGAGCCCTGGTAATCTAATTATCAGTACTTAGAAAATTGCAGCTAATCCTGTGTTTGCAAACTGCAGTACTTCTTTATTTTCATGCCTTTCAGCTTTTCTTCTTTTAATTACGCATTTTTCATACTAACTCAACTCATATATGGTACTGTTAACAGAAGTGCAGGGTCCATTTACCACTGTCTCCTATTTTCCCTCCATAGGAAGCAGAGACCCCACGTAGTGTACTTGAAGAAATTGGATTGACATAAATCTTCACTTCAGCTGATGACATATTAATGTTTCATACTGTAAATGTTCACTGCCTTCATTGTAATGTTTAGCTAATGGTGTAAGATGCTGTTTGTCAGTATTACTGTTTTGCTAAGCTGCTTCATTCGGGCCTACAAGAAAAATACTCCTTTTTGAAAAGGGAGTAAGAAATTAAAAAGTCCAGAAATCGTAAATGAAAGGGAATTACATTAAAATTGACTCAGTGTCTCATGTTGCTGCATTTATAACAAAATTGCATTTGACTTCAGTAAGTGTACTGTTTTTTTATAAGCAAACTTGACTTCAGGAAATAAGTGTATCATTATGACATATCTAAATGAAAAGAAACTATGAAATGTTATGGTGTAGAAATTGTGTTTATGCAACCAAAGACTTTGTTCATCTACATTTCAGTCACCAATTGTGATAATTCTGCTTATTTCAGTTGATGCATAAAGCTTGGAAATGCTAGTTTATTACTGAATTTGTCATTATACCAAAGAATCCTGTTAGGATCTGCATATCTCACTGGTAAAAACTGTTAAGGTGATACAGCTTTTGCAAGAAAACTGCAAACTGCTTAACTCACTAGGCAGGAAATGTAGCTACTCTGAGCAAAACTCTGCACGTTCCTATGCTAAAAAGGGAATGTGTGAATTTAAAAAAAAAAGGAAACTTTTTAAACTTAAAAACCTCTGCACATAAACACTAAAAAGGAGGTAGGCTTTCAGACTGTATAGAGGTGCATAATGAAAATTAGATAATTTTGAAGATGGGGAAGAGGGAGCTTTATAAAAGTGACTTTTCATTGTTTTCTTTCAAACTCTACAAATTAACTTGTATTTATTGGTGGTTTATATTTATGCTTTAATGGGTATATAGGTACCTTAAAAAAACCCAAATCCCACAGTAAAGGTCAATGTCATTTTAACTGCTTTTCTTAACTTACACCTTTAACTGTGACACATCCCTTACAACACTCGTGTGTGACATACAGTTGAACCAACTAATTTGTAGTTAAGAGCTTTTAAATATTAGATTTGTACAGTAGATTCACTGCAACTTACGTCAAATGATAGCAAGTAATATTTTGACACTTGGAGCAGCCAAGCAGTAGTTATAAATGAAACCTCTTTCACTTGCTTGAGGGAATCAGATTCATGTATACTTTTGAGGTCATGCATCATGCTTTAGACTAGCCAAATTCTGCTGTGCATCTGCATGGTCTCTGAGGAGGCAGAGCTGCTTCCCTCTCTTCCTCCCTCCCCAGTAACTTCACTCTAAGAGTTAATATTTTGGCTTGTTTGCTTGAGTCAGTAGTGCCACGTTTTCACAAACCTTAGCTTTGGCGCTGTTGCTGGAAGCAGTCAAGCACTGCTAGTATAAGCATTTACATAGCCATCTGGAGAGCCAGACTGCCAGCTTGATGCCATCTAGGTTAAATTTAACCCACTGGGACTGGCTTAGTGTTGCCACAGCCACCCCTGATACAGATCCCAGTATAAATAAATGCATGGGGCAGCAGAAGGGCAGTGCCAGGGTGGAGCGTATGGACTCACTCCTTCGGCCCTTTCTGGGATTTAAACATATGAATTGCTGGAGACTGTTTCTGTTCTAGGGCACACCAAGGCAGTGGTTTGCATTTCCCCAGTGCATGACCTGCAGGGGTAGGCAAGGGGAAGGTGGTAGCAGAATGACCCTTGTGTGAGCTTGAAGCACTAAAATTACCTTAAATCAAATCTGAAGCAATTTTGTATGTATTAAACATGTTTTTAATGTTTACACTGTCACTTGTATGTGCTTGGCTGGATTAAGCTTTGTTGTGGTTGTGACAAACTGTTTGACCTCTGTCTGTCATATTGGTTTAGTTGTAATAAATGTCCATTTTTACACCATTACCATGTGTTTATATGTAATCAGTTCTGGTATTTGCAAAGAAGAGGCTACTCGGTGCTAGCTTAGAAAAAGGGAAATTTTATTACAGTGCTTAACCTGTTCTTGAGCACTTTATTAAAAAAATGTGAGAGTATACTGTGTCCAAGATTAGTTATTTACATCCATTTGAAGTGTACAGAAAGCAGTGAATTGGCAAGTTTCTGGAAGGCTTACCACATTAAACATGGAATTTATTAAAGTGGATGCGTAGTGCCATTTCATCTGCAAATTGAAACAAACCACGTTGAGAAAGGGTTCTGGATAAGACAGACCGAATATTCATATCCTTACATGGAACTATGAGCAAGTCATTGCAACAGCCACAGTCCTGGTCTCGACCAAAAGTCTCTCAGATCAGTCTGTTCTCCAGCTTTCTGAAAGAACTGAACTGATTGATGTTATCAGAAGCATGGGGAAAACTTCATAAGCCACAACACCATCTTAGGGCCTTTCTTTAGCATGAAATGTTTGTTTCTTAAATTTCATGTTTTACAGGGAATAGGTTGGGGGAAGCTCAAGCATTAATTAGACTTTCTGGATTGTTTAGGCAAGTTGACTGTTGGCTTGAGTGTCTTCAACTTCACTGAATCTTAGTCTTTAACTGAAAGAGCCCTTCCTAAACATGTGCTGTTCCTTTGGGGTTAATGCCATGATGATGATGGTGGCCCTGTGTCTGTGTTTGGAACGGTACCATGTGTCATGGGTTGTGCTTGTACAGCTCGCTTTGTAACCTGCCTCGTCATAGTTTACCCAAGTGTAACCTTGTCAGTGTTACATATATTTTTTTAACCAGAGACAGATAACTGAATTCAGCTCATTCAACAGTGCTGAACAGAAGGATATGTGGAATAATAGGGATTTCTTTTAATTACAACTTTTGCAGTGAAAGCAAAATCAGCTGCACTCTTTAGATGATGTAAGAAAGTAAATGAAACCTTTAAATTATTAAGTAGCACAAACTTTTAATGTTTTGTAAGAAGTGCTGACCCAGGACAAGAAGCAACAGCATCTTTAAGCAGGCTCTTATGTTTCTTTGGGGAAAAAAATAAAAGAATGTCACTAATGAACTTCCTTAGGGCAATTTCTGATATGCCCAATGGAGTAATGCAAAGCTGAATCCAAGAAAGACATATCGTCATCAAAGGATGTAAAGCTGTGAAGTTACTTGGGTTGCATTCCAGGCCTCCTGCTCTATGAGCAATAGAAAGCTTTGCATCCATCTGCCACTCCTCACTCTGCTGGTGGTTAAGCTGCTCTGGGCAGGCTGCTGCAGAGGGGAACAAGCCCTGATCCCTGGTGCCTGAGTGCTGCTGGGCAGCACACACTATTGCCTGTGTCCGCAGGAGTTCTCGCCACGCTGCCATTATTTCCCTTCTGCCACTGGGAAATGCACTCTTCCTGCTGGAGATCTCCCTGCCAGGAAAGGCCTCCCTGCTGCCTTGACAACTTCTTCCCACTCTGTGTCAGCACCTGCTTTGCCCATCACCGTAACCCACCTCAGCCAGCCTTTCAGAATTCACAACTGAAAGAACTTTGAAAGCCACTGCTTTTAAGCAGCCACAGAAATGTAGAATTCTAGACTGGTTAAGGGGCCTTAAATATCATTCAGCTCCAACCCCCTACCATAGGTAGGGACACTTTCCACTAGACCAGGTCACTCAAAGCCCTGTCCAACCTGGCCTTGAACACTGCCAGGGATGGGGCAGCCACAGCTTCTCTGGGCAACCTGTGCCAGTGCCTCATCACCCTCGTCCTTCAAACCAAACCAAACCAAACCTTGGCCAATATGAATTCAGTTTCTAAGGTCCTTTTATGTGGAATAATGCAGAATAACAGGCAGTGAAAACAAGTTATTCCTTGAAAATTTAAATCCTTTCTGTGTTCTTCTTGGGTTTCTCCCCTTTGGAAAGGGAATTAAGCTTAACATTTAAAAACTTCTAGTCTTTTTGTCTCTTCAGAATAAAAAGCTCACTCAGCTAATAAGGAAACACAAAACCATGCATGTAACACTAAAGATTATGAAGTAGGGAAACACTATTGAAGTATATGGAAGTCAGAAAACTGGTTGAATCCCAGGTTTCATGCTAAAAAATACAAAATAAATATCAAGTTTTACAGCACTCAGTTTCTGTGTACTAAACAGATTGCATGTAGAAGAGAATGATAATTACAGCTACCAGTCCTACACTGTACAGGTACAGCCAGTACATTTGGGTCCAGGCCTCAAGAAAAAGAAGCTGAAGCTTCAGCCATTATAGTAGCAGAAATAAAGTATATTTAAATTTTTACATGCACCTCTGAGCAAGTATTTTTTTTTTTTTTTATTATAAGAACTTATTTTTTAAAAAAATACAGCAGCTCAGGTTCCCAAATCCCATTACAAAACCATGGGGACACAAAGCCTAATTACCTGTGGAATTCTCACATGGGCATTAGCTGGCACCCAGTTTCTAATCCTGCAGAAGCCTGCTTTGCTGGTCACGGGTTCCCACCACCCATTCCACTACTGCCCTTTGAGCTCAGCAATTGATTTCACTCGGATAATGCTCAGCTATGGCCTGCCACCTGACACAGGATATACAGTGCACTACAGGTGGCAGGAGTCAGTCTCAACCAGCAGGCTGGTGCAGCAGCAGCTGTGGGAAGCCAGCAGCACCATCCAAAGGGAGGTGTTACTGGCCTGCCAGTTCAATCCTGTTCCAGGGAGCCGAACTGGCATTTGCCACATTCTGCATCAGTGACCCAACTAGACAAGTGAGCATCTATGAAAAAATAGAAACCTTGGGGAAAATCTGCCTGTAAGGTCTAGTCACAAAAAAAGTACAGCACAAGAAAGCAGTGGTCACAAATTTCCCAAATGTAATTTAAAACTTAGTGCTGTCTATCCTTTGAAATATGCCTTTAAAACAAAGTTGTTATTTCAAAAGTTATGCTATTAAGTTACAAGTCCTACATCTGTTAATAACTAAAACATTTAATCAAATTAACTAAGCTACAATTCTGCCTACCGTTATGACAATATATAGTGAAAGTCGTTTCTGAACTGAACATCAATATATAGCACTTTTGTTGTATTACTCCATATTGGACAACAATTACACATGAAAGAAGGAAAATGTATAATCAGCATGCTAGGTGCAGTATGCATTTAGAAAAGCAAAAATATATATATTATACCCAGAAACAATGTTCATTCACTCTGAACTATCCTTGGGGAAAAACATTCTTGTGAGGAATGCTGTCATAAAGTTTAGATATCCAGATTTTCTGTGGGACTTTATTACTTTGTAGGAATTGTTAATGAATACCAATTTGGGATCACTGCATTTCTGCTTTAGGCTTCTGACTTCAGTGGTCAGAACTGTATTCTAATAGCGGAAGCCCAAGTTCTTTGGAGAGGCTGAAGAGATGGACGTGCCTCTGCAGACCCTTCAGGGCACCGTCAGTGCCACAATCTGCTCTCCAAGCACCTAAAGACACCTACGTACCCAAGTTAAATACCGTAAGTTAAACAGTGAAGTACAGTCCAACTAACAGCACAAGTCTTCCATTTAAAAGGGGAGAAATATTTGTAAGGATTTATCTAATTGCAGGTACTTTGCTAATAAAGCTGTCACTTAAAAAACATTTTTTCCCTGATAACTTCACTTTTATGTACCCTGCTCTCCACCTTGACTGTAGGAAAACTAGGCAGTAGGGTGCCTTAAACCATTTGTAAGATAAGCCTAAAAAGTCAAGTCCTCCTCTCGCAAAAACCTGAAGTATTGTTTCACTTATAAACCCTTCAGTTTCTTTAGCCACTCTGCCAGCATCCTGAGCCTTCAAAAGTACATATATGCATCTTTGGTTACCAGACGTGCACTTTTCCACCGCTCCTTCACAGGTCAGGCAGGTTGTTTTCAACTACAAATGGTATGCAACCAAGAGCTAGGACAGTATTTTCTATCCCCACTCGAGGATTACAACCTCATGGTCTCCACTCATACTTGGGGATTAAGATACTGAATAAATCAATTGTTTTTCTGTGTACTTCCTACTTGGTTTTAGTCTACTGCAATCCCTACAGGCACTTAACTCAGCAGCTCCATCAGGGGAGAGAGAAAAATCCAACACAAGTGACCACAAAGCTCCTACTGGGAAAGTATTGTACAATCAAACAGCAATGTCTTTTAGATCCCTTTTCTCCAACTCATAACAGGATTATATTTACTTTGTCTTGAACGAGATTTCCCATGAACAGATGGAAAATATAAATGGCAGTCTTCTACAGAGGCTTCAGGTTGCAATATGCTGCAGTGTGAATTTACAGCACACTGGCTGTTCTGTACTAACTCCTTAAAAGGAGAGTAAACATTTAACACACACGTAACACAGAAATAAGCATATACCAAGTAAGCTTTACTTCTCTCTCTATGTGTACTTGGTATGCATCCAGGTGTTGCAGCAGTTCAGAAGGACAGAGTAGCTAGAGTACTTGACATTCACACCTTATATAGGACTTAAAACTTTTAATTTTCTGAAGCTTAGCACACAATGAATTAGGTTCCTTTATTAGGAAGAAACATTTATTGTGCAAGAACACTTTATTTGAAACTCAAATATCTGGTGCCCTATTGGAAAGATTGCTTTGTCAGCTCTAGGTTTGATCAATTAGCAATTTCTGAAAGTAATTCTCACTTTGTTTTGGGAGTTTCACTATTCTTTCCTCTGCTGCTTGATCTCTTTTTACCCCTGCTCCTGGATCGAGAGGAACTCCGGCTTCTGCTCCTGCTGCGCGTTCGACTATGACTTCTGCTGCGACTGCGGCCTCTCCTCTTTCTGCCCCGGCTGTGAGACCTCCTCCGTTCTCGGCTTCTTGACCTTCCCGATCGACGCCTTCTCTTGTTTTTGCGGCGGTTCTTTTTTCTCTCAGATTCTCCATTTCTCCGGTAAGAATGATCTGGGCTGGGGCTGCCCCTTCTCCTTGAGCGGCTGTAATAGTCATCACGATGGCTTGTCCTTTTTCTCCTTTCAGAGTTTTTAGACGACTGATTAGTCCGTTCAGGAGAAATACGTATGTCTCTATTGGCCTCCCAAAACTCATTGTTTGGATTTTTGAATACATGAAGAAAATTGCAGTGTTTCCCTCTTGGACACTTCTGCCTTTCAAATAAGCCTGCAACAGATTAGGGTTTGCTTTTTTTATGAACCAGACCTGTTAAATCCCTTTCTTCATTATGTGCCTACCAGAAAGAAACTTAATAAACTGCATTTCACATCTTCAAACAGAAAAACATGCATCTGACCTCCCGTCAATTTAATTCACACAAGATTAGTTTTCAATATGTACATTCCTTGGAATTAACTTTCTAACAGCTATGAAGGTTTTAGCTTAAAACAATTTTCATAAATACTTTTACTACCTTAATCTAAGAATGTAAATATAGGTAAGTCGAATGTGATAGTTACTGCTAAGAACTGATGGTTCAGAAACTGCTGTTGCTTTTTAAAAATAAATTGGTACTTCCTGTAGTTTCACTTTAAGATTATTATTTCCAAAGCATAGATCCAAACCTTCTTTTCCAGTCCAAGGCACACCCACTAGAACAATTCAGACACACATGTGACATGGCAGGAGTATTCCCTTTCCTTCCTAGATCTGCAGTCAAGCAAATCAGCATGTTTGTCTTCCAAACAGAAATGAACTACAACATTAGGCAGATCTGAAAGCTACAGGCTAATTCCCTCTTTTTCACTTCCAGAAGTACACTTTCAGTAACACACATTCTCAGTTTGTGACTCACCACATATAGCAGTTTTCCACCTTGTCACAGGACAAAATTCACAATGAAGCTGTCGGCCTGCATACCATCGTCCACTGAAGAGAGCAAGAGCTGCCTGGCAGTCCTTCTCCCTTTGATAAGTAAAAATGACAAATCACGTTATCATCCTACAATCACTTATTATTTACCAATTTTAGGCTCCCATTACAGTATGAGAATGAATCAACTGGATTATACAGACAGTGTTTTTTACTGAACTTTGGAGTTTAGCTGTAAAACTGTGTAAGACTGTGAGTACTTACGACTGATACTGGACATATACATTTCCTCGAAGGTGAGGCTCATAGTTGCAACTGACCTGAGAGGATGGAAACATAAAGTTGGCACAACTCAAGGTTTATGCTATACAGCAGCTCACACATGCTAAGATCCTGCTATTCCAATATATCACAGCTCATCAATGTGAACTTACAAGTGATTCTTCTGAAAACTTAGTTTTAGCCAAAAAAAAAAAAAACAAACCCAAAAAATCCCAAACAAAACACCCCACAAAACAAACAAAAAACCACCCTTCTGACTTATGTTTGATGGTTTCCAGCATTATGCTTTTATTAACTCAGGGACCTCTGCTTCACTTAGTCTGCAAGACAGCCTGTACTAATTGTCTTGCATTTGTCTGGACCACCTCTACTCTGCAACAGCAAAATCCTGCTCTGAAAATGACCAGTAGTATCCTCACGTGGAAATCATAGAATCATAGAATCGTTAGGGTTGGAAAGGACCTTAAGATCATCTAGTTCCAACCCCCCTGCTGTGGGCAGGGACACCTTACGGTAAACCATATCACCCAAGGCCTCATCCAACCTGGTCTTGAACACTGCCAGGGATGTAGGATTCATTACAGTAAGAGAATCTTTAGAGCCATTTACCTTCACAGCATCCTCATGAGATGAGTTAGAAAAGCTGAAGTCGCTAACTTTCATCACTGAACAGTTCTGAAACACCTTTTTTCATAATGATTTAGAATTCAAAGTGTATCTAAAGGTCTCAAAAATACATTATTCAACTTCCAAAAAGCTTGTTGCTAGTTACAAAAGATTCTGAGGTGGGATGGCCCAAGCAGGCAAGAACCCAGTTCTCCAGGGCAGAAGAGCGTACCCAGCTTCTTTTGACTCGAGGCCTCTTCTGATATCAGCACCTAATGAGGCAAGTGGCTCCTTTCTTCACTGAACCGCGACCGGCCCTCAGAGAACACCTCTCTGTCCATTGGATTAGGCAAGGGCTTCAGACACAACCACAAGCAGTTGAATAATTAAATAGTACAGAATAAGCAGTCAAGCTCTGAGATAAACAATGTCAACACAAAACCAAGAATGGTTTTGCCATAGACATTTTTGGGTGGGAAAAGAAGTGTGTTTTGTCAGATCTGCCAGATTCTGATGTAGCTTCCCAGAAAGAACAGCAAGAATAAAACCTTAGGCCACATTGAAAATGGAAGTCATCTCTAAGATAGGGGTGTGCATAATCTGATTCCAAATGATAGCAGAGACTCAGCTCACAGTTAAGACCCCTGCAGCCAACATGCAATTTCTGAGTATCTCTAATAAATGAAAACACCCGTGAGAATCACATTACAGTTGCACAATTGCTTCAGAAGCTGAGAAATGCCATGCTAAAAGTTCTTACCCCATTATTAGTCACAGGGACCCAAGAAGGTGCAACTTTGCACAGTTGCATATAGCAATGATACAAAGTCAAGGATCTGAGTTAGATGGTGAGACAGCATTTCCACCCACACTTCATCGGGAATCTATATCCCATCTTCTAGGTTGGAGCATAGCCTGCTAATACTCCATGAGTCAAAATGTGGAGAGGATGCTCCTCCAAACCAGTGAAGGTTTTTTACCTACAAAGCTTATACAGCTATTGAAAATTCACTTTTTCTACTTTCCTCTTTTTTTAAATAATGCAATCTCAGTTCTGAGGCAGCTGTCAGTAGATGGAAACAATAGGAGAAAAGGCACTGCCTGCCTCCTGGTGACTGCAGGAAAACACTCAGGAATGGCAAGCAGGAAAGGATGCTGCACTAGACTTCACTGCAAGGCAATTTCACTATCCAAGCCGCGTATTTTGAAGCGACATGGGACTGTAAACACACATCATTCATCTCTGGGGTCTCCATACACAGGTCCCTGTTTTTCCCCCATAAGAAATCATAATATAAATGGGGAAAATTCAGTACAGAACGTTCAGCAAACCAAGCACACAAAGGATATATGACAAATCTCGACACCATTTACGTAACTTACCTTTTTATAATTCCTCCTAACAAAACATCTACTACTGTTGCAATTCATTGTAATTTGATATTATTTTATCCAACAAGCTCTAAAGTTACACTCTTTGGGTTTATAGTCCAAATACATTTTATATCCCCACTATTTAATTCCTTAGGCACAAATATAATAGCTCAGACATATTGTCTAACAGTCTTAGTGGACCCTCTGGGGCTTATCAAGGGCTAAGTAAAGCAGGGACTGTGAGGTAAGTGGACTGTTGAGCAGTATGAGTAACTTGCAATATAAAAGTACAAGCTTTTATAACAGTCAAGGGAACAGGACAGAAGATTTACCCGGAGTAAGACAATGCTCTATAACAGCATTGACAAGTTTACAAGTGACATGAGAGACGTACAGTTTGCTGTAAGGAAACTGTATAGTTCTCTTGTGTACATGGGATTTAGCTAAGGCATGCTGGACACAATTCCTGATAAGGCTAGTAAAACACAACTTAGGTGGTATATGTTAGATATTTAACAAGCTTACATTCAGATGCATACCTTGAACTGCACAACCTTCCCCACATTCTGAAACTCAGGGAGCACGTCCTCGTAGAACTCCAGGAACTGCTGATAGGTCTCCTCGTCACTATACTCGAGGCTTGCATCTGTGTCATAGTCATCTCTCCGGCACTGCTCCATGCCAAAAGTAATGAACATCCCTCGAACGAGTAGTGTCTTACTAGATGTTGGATAGTTATGCTTGCGAGAACACCTGCGCATTTGTAGTGAAGAAAGGAAAGTAAAAAGATTATCACTGTGAGCCAAAGATGCATCTATTGAAACTTCACAAATGCTTCCCATTTCAAGTTACACATATTACAACAGAAAATCAGTTAGGCAAAGATTAACATACTTCAATTATTAAAACAGTTATTTCAGAAGTGAGTTTACATATAACCTTAGTGCTTTCTGCCATGCATAAATACATTCTTGCTTAAAAAAGCACATCTGCAAAAGCTGTAGGTACTAGTAACACAGTAAGAGCTGAAGTTCTTTTAGGCTTCTAGGTTTAAACAATGTTCCCCACTTCTGAAGGGCTTTATAGAAAGACTACTGACAATCTTTTAAGACATTTTAAAGCAAGTCCTTGCTCTTTATTTTGCAACTGGAACAACTTTTACTGAAGTTTTTCTTATCATACAGAGGTAGGGAGAAGAATTGAGGGAAGGAACGCACATTTAGACCTGAAATTGGATGAGTACAAGATTGGTGTTTTTCCACTTCTAAAAAAAAAACTAAATTAAAAAAAAATGGATTCTTCTAAGTAAGTCTTACCTTAAACTGCATCTTCTTGGCAGCCAGAAAAGTATTAGACCTCCCTCATCATCCATCATGTTCAGGCTATCTCCCTCACATGCTAAAACAAAGTTCTGCTCTACAAACCTTTAGTTTTAGTACGAAAATGGATTTTAGCCATCGTGTTTATTTCACTGCGCTTTATGATCTCCATTTCAAACACTGCCCTGAGCAACTGGGTCATGCACTCTCCAACACATTTCTCCTTTTCAAGACATGATCAGAAAAAGTCAGACTAGTCTACTCTCTTTATCTAGCACTTGCAAAGCACAGACAAATTGGAGGAGGTCAGGTCTCAAAATGGGCAACTGCAAACTAGACTTCAGATCAGAAGTTTCTTTCTGTATCCAATCAGTCAGAAATTGACTCTCACTTTCTGGTTGACACTTCTGACTTAAAAAAACTACCGACAAAAACAAAACTCCAAACCCAAAACTAAATCCAGAGACAATTCATTTGTTCTATTTGAACAGAATCATAGAATAGAAGCTCATAGAATAACAGCAGCTCAAAATATACCCAACCAATACTGTCTGTACACAAAATGAATACAGCATTTGACAGAACACAATCAGCCTCGAGGAAAATGAATTACCCAAAATCCAGTATTACTACAAAATATTAGGGTTTGAATTACTGGAGAAATTAATAATGGTGAACTCAGCCAGTTTTTACCTTCTTCAAGACATAGTGAGCTTTGACAAGATTCAGCAATTATTTTATTGATAATACTGACTCTCAATTTTTCACCACTGAGGTCCTTTTCAGCTTCCGACCCATTCTTCTAGTCCTTATCCTAGCTGTACCTTGGTCCTTCAACTTATCGTCAACACCAGAGGTTAAAATGACCAGAATATGGAGGAAGCAGGTATATCAGGAGGAGGAAGGAAGATGAAGGAGAGGTAGCTGATGTCAACAACAGGTGAGACAAGAAAGGTGGAATATGATATTTCTCAGTATTTACCAAGGCTGTTCACAGTTCAAAGCAAAACTGATTTTTATGCAATCCATCATTAATCCAAGGAGATTACCTCCATTAAATATCACTGAAACACAAATACTATTAAAAAATATAAAGAACTAAACATCTGAAAAGCAAAAATGCTGCCTGCAGTGAAATAGCTGGCCAAAGTTTTATTTAGGAATTCTGACACATATTTCAGAATAAAGATGTATAAGAAGATGGAGCTATTGGAGCAAGTGTAGAAGAGGGTCGCAAAAATGATCAGGGGGCTGGAGCACCTCTCATATGAAGATAGGCTGAGAAAGTTGGGGCTGTTCAGCCTGGAGAAGAGAAGGCTGCGTGGAGACCTCATCGCAGCCTTCTAGCATCTGATGGGGTCCTACAAGGATGCTGGGGAGAGACTCTTCATTAGGGACTGTAGTGACAGGAGAAGAGGTAATAGGTTCAAACTTAAACAAGGGAAGTTTAGGGTATATATAAGGAAGAAGTTCTTTACTGTGAGGGTGGTGAGGCACTGGAATGGGTTTCCTACAGAAGTTGTGAATGCTCCATCCCTGGGCAGAGATCAAGGCCAGGTTGTATGGAGCCTTGGGTGACATGGTTTAGTGCAAAGTGTCCCTGCCCATATCAGGGGGGTTGGAACTAGATTATCTTAGGGTCCTTTCCAACCCTAACTATTCTGTGATTCTGTGTGGACTTGAAGCTTCCACAGAGTTGCATTATCTCATAATTATCCACAATTTACACCACACCGAAACAAATTACTTCTAGGATAGAGAAGGCTACAATAGCTGGACAGTAGTATAAATTAGTAAAATAGCCTTATTAGTTTATGCTGACAATTCATATAATAAGTATCAGAGTCTTTCTCTGCTGAGTTATAGTTCCTCCATAATACACACAAAAAAATCAGGGATTTTTAGCCAGATGACATACCAAGCCTGTACTAATAACAAACATATTCTGTTTGAATATATCTGTGCATGCTTCAGAGCAAAGGAAAAGTCAGTCTGACCAATGTAACCAGGATGCAACATCAGTAATTTGCCTTAACAACAAACAGTTCAATTCCAGCTAGGGAACGCTTTCGCTTTCAGTGTCTGGTTCCATCATGAATAACATAACCACATCCAAATAAATTAAAAGTAATTTGCATAGCAATTTTTCTTCAGTTTGCATATGACCTAATGAAGTTGCTTCCCTTTCATCTCTCCAAAACACTCCTTTGCTGGTAAATATTCAATTAATTACCTGTCTCCGAATCGGCAGGAACCTGTTTTAATGTAGAATGGGCAATTCGCTCTATCCTTCTCTGTTCCTATATTCTCTGGGGGTTCTGGGTTATGCCAGGTCACACCATTTTCCAGCTGTGTGGAAAAAAAAAAACCCAAACATTAAAATACACAGAAGTTAAAAAAGAATAAGGAAACACAATGTCAAAATAAAACCACTACCACCAATTAAATTCATATGTAGTTATAAGCACCATGTTACTACAAGGCAAGCTGAACCTACTTTAAGCACTGTGTTACTACGCTGCCAAGTGGCTTGGGTCTCTGGTGATGGACACCTCTTTTCTTGGTACTTGCTCAGTTTTAAGAACAAGCCTTTATTATTTTTTTTTTAACAACAATAACAAAAAAATGACTAAAGTGGATGCTTTCTTCTGTTAAATGAAAAACAGAAAAAGAGTATTTTGCTCCTTGAGCAGCAACTTCATTTGTTTTCCACAGGAATTACAAATATTGGACAGGTTCTTTCCATTCAGCTAAGCCAGTTAGCTACTTCGGCCCAGGACCTGCTGAGCAGCCCTTTATACACCTGGCAGATAGAAAGCTAGGACTATTTATTCATTAGTCTCTGCAACAGCTCAGAGCTCAGTAAGGTTACCATCATTATTATTTTTGTGCAGCTAGAAAAGGCTAAAATAATAGTAACATGCCAAAGGCCAGAATTAAAAAAAAACAAAATAAATTCAGCTGGCACTGGAAGTAAAAGCCTCCATACTATAATCTCAGGCCATTAAAAATTTCTGTAATTCAAAATGGGATTATCAAGTTGCAAGCCATCACTGACCACAGAAAGGCACATTTTAAAAAGGGAATTTTCATTTTGTTAACCAAGAGATTTGTACAGCTGACTCACCTAAGTTCTCATTTAAAATCAACTGAAAACTGTTTACTTACAAGCAGCATTTGACCCTGCTACTAGTTCTGTTCATGACTCTCGGACATAATTTTCTTGTAACTTAACAGCACCATTGCTCCGACAGCACGTAACTGATCCCTGTGCTGATACTATAATGAAGTGTCTAACATAGCACATTTCTGCCTATTCCTTTGCAGAAATGACTGCTAATACATCTTGAGCTCTGGGCAGATAGCTCAGAGCATTTTTCCACACATATTATGAAACAGATATATTCCCTACCTAAAGAACAGTTTAAACATAATTTGGAACTTAATTCAACTCCAATGTAGCTATGGCAATCAACATTCAGTGGGTTAACTAGATTAAAACTTCATTTTCAGATTCACACAGTGGTTTAAGCAGAGCAAGAATCTTCATGAGTTTAACACAGGACAGGAATACAAAGCCAAATTATTCTGTAAGGCAGTGGGAAGACTGAATTGATCCTCCTTAAGATTCAAATGAAAACCACACGCTGCCAGCTTGAGATCCATGCTTTTCCAGGCACCCAAGCAGTCAGCTTCTCCCTCCCATACCTTTCATTTTTCCCGTTACAGATCCCTGCCCTCCTCTACTACAGAATCCTTCTATTTACAGCCTGCCATCTGCTTAAAAAGACAAGTTTGTCTTGCCACCCAGAAGGACTGACAGATTTATTGAGAATTCTAATTCACATATAAACCACCACACACAGTGTTTAGCCTTTTTTTTTTTTTGAACAGCACATAGCAGTATTTCCGGATTTATTTTGATTCAGATCTCCTGAAGAGGAATAAGCATGCACAACTGCACTGACACCAACCAGCCAGAAATATGCTTAATTATGTTCCACCCAGTAAATAATTGTTTATAGCCATGCAAGCCACTACATATTAAATTTATTCAGGCCACTAGGCTCTTGAGAGCAGATGGACAACATGCTAGAAGGGAACACTGGATAGCAATTAAATTACTTTTCAGTTCTTTTTGAGAAAGTCTCTGAGCATACCTGGCTTTCAGCTTGATCCAGCATCCTCTGCACAGCTGCCTATAAATGGTGCAAACACAGGACTAGTGAAAACCCTGAAGACACACAAAACATCTGGTTTCTTTAGTTAAGAACCTAATTTACAATATTCAGTGATTATACATAATAAAAGTTTGATGGGGTTTGCTTTAAAAATGGAAGGCTTACTTTTGCTCTGTAGCAATTCAAGTACTACAAAGCTGTTAAAGGATACATCAGACAACACCTTTGTGTAGATGATTTTCTAATTTAAATGCTAGACAACTTTAAGTTTCATTTTCTCTTTTAAAACTATCATTGAGCTACTGAATACTTATATACCTCCTGCTCTAGTACTCAGTCTGGTTACAGACAGGTTCATCATCATTTAGCTGCCCTAAGCTTTTCAACTTGGAACATTCTATGTAACACATAGAAAAACACATTGCTTAGTGAGCTTCTGTTAAAGCAAAATATGTAACTGTTAAGAAACTTTAATATCATAAGTTCACTGTATCTAGCCTTTGAAATACCAGAAAACAATGAGGTTATTTTTCCCCTTTCTTCTTCTAAGTTGGCTGAGCAAAACAAGTCACCCTCCAAAACTGGCTGGAAATGCGTTCTAACAAATTATGCTCGGATGTTACAAGAAAAAAAGAAAAAAAAAATTTAAACCTAACCAATACAAGAAAACTTTGTTCTCATTTGGAAGAGAATTAATTAAATTAAAAAAGAGCAAATTTAAAAAAAAAAAAAAAAAGCAATCCAACATGAGGATCCAGACAGCATTATCAAGTATGTCAGATACTATTCACCTTAATAAAGAAAAACAAATCAAATCAAACATCGTAAAAAAAAACCAAAACCAACCCCAAAATACACACCAAAAACTAAATAATCAAAACCCCAACCAAAACACCATCAAATCAGAAAACCTATTTTCTCACCTTAGGGAGAGAATTTTATTTTATTTTTCAAATCACTAACTCAGAATTTGAATAAACTGCTGTTTAAAGAGACAGGCAAAATCAACTTTCTGCTGCTGAAATGAGTGCCTCCATTCACAGCTGGGTACGGTTTCCCTCTGGGTGACTGTCAATGCCCTCTATGAGCCAATTCAACCCACTAAACCAGTAAAATAGTAACCCAGAAAAAAACACAACAACAACCAACCAAAACCCTCCCAGCCAACAAAAACCCAAACCAACCAAACCAGCCAACAACCAAACCAAAAAGAAAGCAGCTTCCATCTAGTTCAGGGAACCAAATTAGCTCACTGCGGGCTTGGGCAAAGCCAGACACAAGGAGATGGAAGGAATAAAATCCAGCTGTTACCACTGAAGCAGTTGAACCTGCTTGAACTCTCTTGAAACTATATCTCAATGTTAAATAAAGGACATAACCATTATTTTCTCTCCCTATTCTACAAAAATAGGACACTTCACACAAGTGGAAGTAAGACGGGAAATACAACTGCTGTCCTTTTTCATTGCCCATGCAAGTGTTATGTAAGTAGTGACAAAACCAACTATTGCATGCAGGAGCCAGTCCTGCTCGCTCATGTCTCTTCTCCTGCTGTGGCTATGAGACACAGCAGCAAGACACCTCCCAGTGAAACAACAGGACTCTTTTGTGATTGTTGAGAAGCTAACATGACCGATCCTAGAAAGCTGCCATCACCCTTTCCTGGTGATAGGCCAGTCCTCACGTTGGAATTCTCTACAGGACATCTTACATCCAGGCCATTCAACTTCTAAAACTTAAGAAGAATGTATTGTTAACAGAAAAGTTATTATTGCCTTGTATCTTCAGTACCATTTTTATTCCACTCAAAGAGCTCTGAAAAAAGATACGTTCTGTTGGATGAGTCGGGTAAAGAAGAGCTGTATCTTTTAAGAACTGTGTTAAGGAACAGCAGCAATGTAATTCCGTATTCCATATCCTCATAGAGCATTTTCTTCAACACTGGCTGTATTCAACTGGGACATTTTAAGGAAGAAGTTCTTTACTGTGAGGGTGGTGAGGCACTGGAAAATGTTGCCCAGAGAAATTGTGGCTGCCCCTTCCCTGGAAGTGTTCAAGCCCAAGGCTGGACAGTGCTTTGAGCAACCTGGTCTAGTGGAAGGTATCTCTGCCCATGGCAGGGGGTTGGAACTGGATGAGCTTTAATGTCCCTTCCAATCCAAACCATTCTGTGATTCTATTAAGTAAGGATTATCTTTAATGCATGATGCAAAAAGTGTACAACAGAACCTGAATTCACAGTGTGCTTTTGTATTTAATAGATACAGAAATTGCATACTATGAAAACCTAGTTGCTTCTAGGTATATGGATTCACTGTATCCTCTTTATCAGTGAATAACAGTTTCAGGAATATAGACAGAACCAAGAGCAATAGTATTCTAACACATTTATACAATGGCTAATTAGACTGAAATCCCTCTTCCAACATTCAGACTGCTGTATCTGATAATGTAAGAAGATATGTAACACGTTTATCCTCCCACTGCCAGGAATCACCTCTCTCTCTTTCTTCTCCTGCTGCTTCTGCTGTGCCGCTTCTTTCTCTTTTCTTTGCTGCTCTTCCCACTCTTCTTTTATCTTCCTCTTTATGATTAAAAAAATAAAAAAAAAATATTTAAGGAAACTAATGCTTTATATCAATCAAGTTCAAAACAATCCTGTTGTAATACAACTCCCTGACCATTAAGTTTTCATCCAGTCATAAGCAACTAAACCTCTAGAGAAAAAAAGAAAAAAAAATTAAAGAGCCTTTTTTTTCCCTGTTTTAATTTTGCTCTTCTAGAGTGGAAGAAAGAAGAGCTTACACTTTCAAACATATCGACATCAAGAAAACTGAGTCCATTACAGAACAGTAAAAGATACTACACTAAATCTAGCTTGCTGCCAGACACAATTGTAATACTCGATTTATACATCACCTCTTCTTCTTCCTGACGTTTTCTTGCAGCCTCTTCTTTTTCTTTCTTAAGCTTGAACTCTTCTTGGGCCTTTTCTTCTCTCAGCAACCACTGTTCATGTAGCTTTTGTCTACCAAGGAAACCAGATACCACTTAGACAAAATTTAATGACTATCCACAACTGATAGAATTCTCATGCATACAATTCAAATGTTATTAGTTCAGGAATAACTACAGGTCATCCAATCTTCATTAAAAAAGAAAATTCCATAGGAATCATTCAGACTTTAGAGAAAAAACTGTATTGCCCAAAATAGACAAAATGGATTCAATTTTACAGACTATACTGAAACTTTTCAAAGTATCAAAGTGTAATTAACTACAAATGCATCTACTGCATATATGGCATTTTCTAGATTCTTCACCTTTCTGCCTCAAGTTTCTTTTCTTCTTCTTCTTCTTCCTCTTCTTCTTCCACTTCCTCCTCTTCCTCCTCTGACACTGATTCATCTTTTTCTGTAGTTTCTGAGAAAACCCACAAAACAATGCATCTAAATAACGGGATGCTGCACTTAGCAAAGATATACAAAATTATATCCTTTAAAAAAACAAAAAAATCACAACCTACTCGTTCCACTAACAATACAAACCACACTTACCAGAGTCTCTTAGTTTGGCAAGTGCCTGCCGCTTTTTTTTTCGTTTTTCTTTCTTTAGAATAGCTCTGTATTTTTGATGGCTGAGGATAAGAAAATATTAATTACATTAAAACAGCCAAGCAAAGGGTTTTTACTTCATAGATGCACTCAATTTACATCAGCAGTCCAAAACCCCACAAACCACAAAATTAACAGCTATTCATAAGAAACAGTAACTCTACAGGGACATCTGACATGATAATGAATCTGTGGCACCTGCTGTCAGAGCCACATGCAGACAGCAGCAGCAATCACATTTGGACACAACACAGAGGGTCTCAACCTTCCAGAGCTGTGCAGTATAGACGTTATTGCCAACTCCATGAACTCTCCCTTAGTTCCTGAAACCTGGATACTAGGTAAGATTAGGGAGAAAAATTTGCGGCTCTCCTATCCTGCAATTTTGGCACACCTTTCATTTCATTCTAGTCTTCCTCTCTTACATAGGGTATGAAATTTTAAGTCCCTTCCCATCTCCTTTGATATTCTCTACAGGCAGCAGCCTTAATGTACAGGTAAGAAAAGCACACTTCACCATCACTGCGCACAATGCTCAGGTCTACTCTTCTGCTACTGAAGCTTGGCCAGATTGATCCTTCCTTGTCTGAAAGCTCAGCAAGGCTGCCTAGAAACAACACCATGCTTTTGTTATGGTCATAAAACCATTAAGTATCTGAAAGCCTTTTCATATCAACCCCTTTTCTATCATATTTCATTCTAACTTTATTCTTTCTAGCCACTTCATAATGGAAAAATAGGAGGGAAGGATGATCTTCAGCTCTTGTCATTCTGCCATGCAAAATATTCAAATAGGAGATCAAAATCTTCAGGTTTTGAAGTATGTAATTCTAAAAGATTCCACAGGTGTAAATCAGGCAGCCAGAACCTCACCTGCATCTCTCACCCTTCTGTTCAGGCTTACTCACAACCTCACCATCTGCATGCTGTCATGGTAGTTATTTCGGCAACAGAGCGCTTGCCCTCAAAGAGCAATGCCTGACCGCATGCAATGCCCACATCTGAGCCTCCTGCCTTTGGTAAGTCAAGCAAGCCTAGTGACTCCTCTTGTAATGCCACCTGCCTGAAGTGAACCTCATCCACTCAGCAGGTGCCTCAGGCCAGCAAATGAGAATAGCTCCTTCCCAGTCCCCACACTTCCTTAGCTGCTCGTGAAGCCTAAGAAACAGAGCCAGCAACTCGCCTCGCTCCCAGCCCACAGCAGCACACGAGGAGGTGGGCAAAAAGCTTAAGCCCAAGGAGCAGCGACTTGGCTCGCTTCCCCTTCCAGCCACACAGCACTGGCGATGAAGGCCACTCCAGCATGTGCAAAGGGTAGGCGCTTGCGAAGACAGGGAGCGGGGATCCCACCATCAGCGGAAGGCGCCGGATTTGCAGGCTGTCTCCCCGCGCCGCGGCCTTTGCCGAGACTCTCGTGGCCGCCTCTTCCCCTGGGCGTGGAGGGCCGACCTCCACCTCCGGCTCCCCTCTTGGCAGCGCCGATCAGTCCCACGGCACTGTGCCCTCCCCCACCCCCATCGGGCCTCTCCTGCGGGATCCCCCCACAGTCCCGCTGGCCATCCCGCGCTCCAACCTCCACCCCCCACGGGCGCCAATTGCACACATCCCGCTCATCTCCCATGCCCGGCGGCGGTCGGTCAGCCATGGCCGCAGCCGCACGTAAACTGCGCCACTCCCAGGCCCGTCCGCGAGGCGGCCTCAGCCGCGGCCGCCGTACGGCCGGGGTGGTGTCGGCCAGGGCTGGGCCACGACCCTCCTCGGGGATCCCCAGGCCCTTCCCCTTTCCCCTAGAGGCGGCGGGGAGGCCCAGTACCGGTACCAGCCTCGGCCTCACCTCAACTTCCCCAGAGGGGACTCGGGCAGCAACATGGGCGCCGCCATCTTGCGTTACCAGGGGGATGTCACGTGATCCCTTGGCGGAAGGGCGCAAAATCCCTTCCGGCAGCCTGAACGGGGAGCGGCGGCGGGCCCGGGTGGGAGGTGCGAGTACGCATGCGCACTGCGCTGCGGGCGGAGACGGGGACGCTCGAAGCCGCCGAGAGGGGGGCGGTGCGGTCTGAGGACGAGCTCCGGTCACCGGAGGCGGGAGGCGGAGGGACTGGCAAGGGTATCTGCTGTCCTTCGGCGACTGTGGCCGGGTCGCTGAGGAAGGTGCTGGGAGGCACAGGGGCTGATGGACTGCAGCCGTGGGTTTCTAGCCGCCCCTCAGCCGTGTGAAGCTGCAGCTCCAGTGAGCTGGGTAGTGAATGCAGGGGGAAGAGGACAAGGTTTGGGTGGCTGGCGGCTACAGCTGTTCTTAGCGTGTTTATGCATTATCAAAGTTACTTCTGTAAAATGTGGGAAACAAGGCCAGAGCTGTTAATGGAATCATAGTAAAATAGAAATGGGTTGGAAGGGACCTTAAAGATTATCTCGTTCTAAGCCCCCTGTCACGGGCAGGGACACCTTCCATTAGACCTCGTTGCTCAAAGCCACATCCAACCTGGCCTTGAATACTGCCAGGGATGGGGCAGCCACAGCTTCTCTGGGTAACCTGTGCCAGTGTCTCACCAGTGGCATAGTGAAGAATTTCTTCCTAATGTCTAATGTAAATCTACTCTGTCAGGTTAAAGCCATTCACCTTTGTCCTGTCACTATGTGCTCTTGTAAAATGGCCCTCTCCAGATTTCTTGTAGGCCCCTTTAGGTACTGGAAGGCTACTCCAAGGTGTGTCCTGAGCCTTTTCTTCTCCAGGCTGAACAACTCTCTCAGCCTGTCTCTATAGGACAGGTGCTCCAGCCCTCTGATCATTTTCATGGCCTCTTCTGGACTCACTCCAGCAGGTTCTCCTTGTAATTCACATCCCTTGCTCTTGTATTCACATCTGAGAAGATGAGATAAAGTTACTCCTCCAGCCAAGAACTAGGATTCAGCAAATGTGTGGAAAAGTAGCATTTTAAATTCCAGTTTATTAAACTGTCTTTAAAGACCAGAATTAATTTAGTCCACTGAATCTTTCTTAGTGGTTACCTTCCCAGACTTCCTGAGTAAAGCAGTACACTTGGTGCACTGTGCAGCAGCTAGCCTGTGTTTTTTTCAGCACATTGCAGCCTGTGCTACGTCAATACTCCCAACTGAAGTGACTAGCTGCTGACAGCTTGTCCTCTCTTACGTTGTGTTGGTTACCTCGTGACATATGTTTGGAAACATGAGGTGTGCAATGCTTGCCAAAAGGCGAGCTTCTAGTTTGTGTCTTGGCTGCTATGAATACAGGTGATGGATAGCTGTCTAGGCCTACAGCCTATGAAACTGCTGAGGAAAGTTACAGCTCCAGTATAGCAGGGGAACATCAGGCTGGTATATTGATGAATTTACCTGATGCTGCTGATATATTCCTATAATTGTCTCTGAGGCATACTACCTGTCTTGATTATAAATGTATTTCATGGCAGGAAATAAATTACAATGCACATACAGTCATGGGTATGATGGGTCGAAATATGCAAGTTGTCAGTAATCAATTCCTCAGCGACATGCATTATAGATTGCAGTCTTCAGAGGCAATGAATTTTTAGGTTTTGCTTGGGCACATTTTGCATAGCCATTAATAATGTACATTGTTGATTAAGATCTAAATTATTGTCAGAAACCACAGTATAGGAACTTGTGCATCCTAGAGGTAGTATATTGCATAAATAATCTGAGCTGCAGGCAAAGAAGCATACCAGAGCAGGCTTTGTCAAAACTGGATTAATTGACCGTGCTGTTTGTTAACAGCATAATGAACATCCTCTTATTTATGCTGAAGCTCAGTGAAGTTACTCAAAGCAAACATGTGACTGCTGTAGTCAGCAGTTATGTTTGCTGTTTGACCAGTGAATATTCAGACCGTGACCTCTCTGCTATTACCTAACAATGTTTCAGATTCTGGATTGTCTTTTAAAATGAAGGATTTGACATTTTTATTACTTTTACTGTTTGTGCAGAACATACATGTGAAACCACACATGATTTGCTGCTTCTTAGGTACAGAAGATGGCAGTATTGTGCACTTTACAACTGATGGACCATTGACACCCATGAAAGTTTTGAAAAAAATACAATAAAACGTGTTTCATAAATCTTATTTCATTAAGTAATTACAACTGTAACATTTCACCTTCTTTTCAACACAGTAAGTGCTGTACAGTAACCTTCATTTATCTGTAAGTCAAGCCTGACTTTCATTGGTATGCTACATTCTGGCATTTTCCTGATATACTTTGGGAAAGAACCATCTTGAGCTTATATATTTCAGCAGTGAAAAGGAGGATCTCTTGTAAGAAAACACAAAATACATCAACTGTTACAGATACTCATAATGGTTCTGGAAAAAGCTCTGGAAAAACACCTCTTTGAAACAGGAATACAATAATTGTGTTTTTCTCCATATTGTTTATTCTTATTAATTTATACACATAATAGCAGTTTGATATTCAAGTGCAGGCACTGAATTCCATACAATTTAATTGATAAGGTGTCAGAAAGAAACAAAAAATGTCCATTCACGTACCGAAAGTAATGTGGCATTCTGGTTGATAGCTGTTAGCCCTTACATGGGGATTATAGACCACAGACAGGCCTTTTCAAGCAGTTTATTTCTGTGGAAACCTACACGAAGTTTATGGAACTCCCATGTTTCCTAAAGAAGAATAAATACACCTGTATGGTATGGTACTATATGAACCCCATCACGGGAAGGCCAGTACTGGATACACTGATGGTACTTCACAGAACAGGGCAGAACAGAGAAACTTTCCTCCTACAACTTGAAGTTACATATCATACTGCATTGTAAGTCTTCTGGGTGTATTCTAAGACCTGTGCACAGAATTCTGTATGCAGCAGACCCACTCTGGGCAAGAGTACAGGTACTCCATTTAGCACACATTTGCACTTCATTTCCTTGTGCTTCTGGTTTCCATTTCTGTCATATTTCCTTCCATTGTGGACTGACATAATCAGATAAGAGCTGTTCACTCTCTTTGTTGTATGCCAAAGCCCTGTGTTGAAAAAAGGAAGGTAATTTTTATAAGCATGCGGGTTACCTAGAAGTTGCCCTCATCATAATTTTGGCCATACACTCCAATAGGAGAGTGGTCCTCATGGAACCTTACTGCTTTTATTTTCCTTCCTGAAGAAAATTGACATAAGAGAGCATGATACAAATGGCAATAAATCACTGGCACTGATTTGTTTGACTAAGAAAGTGATCTTGACTAGGAGACATTCAGGAAGTGTGGGTTTGAGATGGGAAATAGTTTTTGTTGACACTTCAGGGATGTGAATTGTACTGTAACAGTGAAATGATGGAAGCAGCAGCATCCTATGCAACACCCTCTGCAGCCCATTGTGGGCAGTCCTTGGTGCTTTCCAATGCAGAGTGCACATTTTAAGACAATATATGTGAAATCTGGAGATTTCACAATCTGGAGACATCCTTCCCCTGCCTGCTGCCCAGTGGCTACACTACTGGCTCAGATTTCTCATATACTGTCTGATCTGTGAGCACTGATAAAAACCCTGTAACGGTGTAAGTCACTTTTGCATTATTACATTGATGACAGTGGTGGTGGTCCGCATTCAGCACCCTGTTTCCCGAAAAGTTGCTGGAAAAACTCCCGTTTAATGAGACTTAGAGGACCTGGTCTCTTGGATGATACTGTCATTCACATAGATCCTAATCTCATCAGCTTCTGAAGTCAGCAGAAGGTGTGCAGTGTTTCCATTTCACCTGGGGAATTGCAAAGCACTGTGTACAATTAGATCTACAGTTCTCCAGGTACATTTCCATGAGTGACTAATGCTGACAGTAGCACATTGACTCTTTCCTCATGAGAGTTGAACACAGCTATTTAAGACTAAATATTAACTTCGTCAGAGTTTAAAACTGTTAATTTGTCAAATTTGAAAACTGAGGTTAAGTTTGGCCATAGCTGTTAATTAACTTATATGATAGCTCTCAATATTTTACTTTCCTGGGATTTTCCATTTCAAAGCCTTTGAAAGAAGCAGAAAAGTACCTTGCTAATCATGTTGATAAGATTGAAGGGGTTTGTTTGTTTTACCAAGTCATATGCTTTCTTGAAATTTCAGTCCTTTCTTGATTTGTTTGGAAGTCCAAATTACAGTATACTGTTAAGTACATGCATACAGGCAATACATGAACTTCTGGAAGTCACAAACACTGAAAAAAACCATCAGTATACTGGTATTTTCAACAATTCATTTAGTACAGGAAGAGAAATAGTTCCTTGCACTAGATCAGTGATATTTCTGGGATGTAGATTGTGCATGAGATTCTGCATGGCTACCACCTGTAGCTCAACAGTAGTCAGGAAAAACAAAGTTACTATAAAAGAGGAACTATCTAAAAATCTAACACCTCACAGAGTAACAGAGTTAAAGCCATACCTTGCATATATGCATGTAGATTGTCATTTGTTAAAGCAGACGGATGCCTGACTAATTAATTTGTGGCAAATAAATGCAGAGATGCTTCAACAATGCTACTTATCTGTCTAAAATGGGAGCTAAAATGGGTAATAAACCCATGCATGTAAATTTATTACTGAGGTATGAAGTGACAGGATGTCTGTCTTTGTAGATTATGCTGGATAATCTAAAATTACCATGCATGTAGATTTATTACCGAGATATGAAGTGACAGGATGTCTGTCTTTTTACATTATGCTGATAATCTAAAATGCCATTTGTAACCTGAAAGATTAGGGAGATTTTTAAAACAG